TTTCCGATGAAACTTTAGCGACACAAGTCTTTTCTTAAATAAAACTGGTTTATTCTTTCTGAATACAACTTTGCAATACACTTAATTTTCACAGTCACGCTATAACAAACGCTAGAATTCACAATGAACGCCTCACGTGCTCGACTCAACAATATGTCTCTCTCTCTGCCCGCAGTTCAATTACATTCATTACCTTGTTGCAGTCACGTTTTGACCGTCTTATATATAAAAGAATACTGAAGTCTAGTAACCTCCCGAGGATTCAAGAAGCTTCGAAATTATGACGTGTTACTAGCGTCACGTGACCTCCGCTGCCGCAACACTGCCCATTCCTTAGTATTGTTGGTCCCGAACAATAACCACTTACATTAAACCAATAAATAATTAACAATAACTTAATTAAATGTACAGAATTTACAAACACAAAATTTCAATTCAACAAAGTCTCTTAATTTTACGGGACGTATCTTCTTCCATACTGGTCTCTGTCTCGTTGGCTTCTGCTTCATGTGGGGTTCATCTGCTTCATCAGGAAATGTCCTATCATTGGTAACAGTCACATCAGTGATAGTAACTTCATTAACGGCGTCACTGACTCCCTTCTGAAAACCGGGTAGTTTCTTCTTTGACAGTGGCTTCTTCAGGTGACATGTCTTCAGCAGCGTCATTTGTTCCATTGTTCACTTCGTTCCAACTGAAATATCCTGGACCGTGATAATGCCAAAGCCTGTTGGCATGCACCACCATTGGCTGACTTCGCCGACCACATTTTATTTGGAAAGCCACATCTGAGAGACGACCCACTATGTGTTTGTATGTATCTTCCCATCTCGACATTTGGTATTATAGATAATTATTGTAACATTAGGACTCAAAGGTCTCGACGTTTGGTATCATATGCAGCTAGACAACGCTACCTACCGCTAACTCATGTGCTACTTTAATAGAATAATCAAATACGTCCTTATCTCTTAGAAGAGCAATATTGTTATTATTATTAAAAAAAACATTTAAACATTTCGACCACACATTATTTTTTTAGGTTTTAATAAATTTAGTGTTAAGCCTTCTTTCATTTTGTTTTTACTAACATTACTTTTGTTGTGTATACTTTTAAAATTGTTTTCTTCAGTCTGATGCTTGTTATGCATGTAGTGGTCACGAATGTGTGAGAGGTAGGAAGTAGATGGGGTTTGTTTCTAATTGTACTGTATAAGTTATGCACTGTTTCACCAGTATCAAATTTAAAACACTCTTTACATTTATAATTGAAATAGCTCCATTGTTTTAGAAGTCTGAATAAATGTTTTAAGAATTGTTAATTTTTCTACTGCTTCTTGTGCAAATAAAATATTTTTTGTTAGTTTTATGGTTTTTAAAAAAAAACTATTTCCAAAATTTTAATAATATGTTGTGTAAGATATTCACCTGTTAGTATAATTCTTGTTTGATTATTTAAATTCATAGACTCTTCTTTAATAATTATATTTTAATGTATATTTTCGTGGCCATTACTTGTATTTATATACTTGTTTTCATTTCTAGTTATATCAAATCGTATTTCGTTTCAAAAACGTTATAAATTCCTCTAACGCTTTACTTAGATTTTTATTATAACGTAATAGGAATACAATTACTATCGAGTGTTATTATTCACATTATAATATTCGAGTTTAAATAAACTCACAGCTCACACTAACTTACACAAACCTCTATGTTATTCCTACACTTAAGTATGACCAACACCACAGCAATAACTCATGTACATCAGCTTTTTGAAATAGTGATCGTACTATGTAATAATACAGATGGATGGTAATTAATGCCCGGATTTAATAAATTATATCCTATTCAGAAGGACGTGGACTAAAATCAGAACATCGGAAATATACAAAAGTCGGGCCATTCTTACTTCACTAACAGCTCTACCGTAATAAAATTCACAAAGAGCCTGCAGCCTATAAGCCACTCATTACTGCCATGCCTATAATACCTCGGTTTTCTCGGTACTTTAAGAATCCAAACTGATGAGTGAAACATTTGGATTATTATCATGTTGATGTTTTTAACATATCTGGACTTGGTACACTGTTAATAGTTGTATTTTCACACTGTACTATTCTGAACAGCAGAAAACATAGTTTGAGTGGTATTGAATTTTTGAATGATGAATATTAACCGTCTACCTATATGATCCTTTTGAAAACTTGAGCTAAAAATTGCCTAATGTAGTTTGCTTGCCCTAACCAATATTTATGCATCTTGCACATACATTAAATCTATAGCTTTTCTGCACTAAATCAGTCGTCTTTAAAACGAATGACAAGGCCCAGCATGGCCAGGTTGTTAGGGCGCTCGACTCGCAATATAAGGGTCGCGTGTTCGAATCCCCGTCACACCAAATATGCTCGCTCTTTCAACCATGGGGACTTTATAATGTGTCGATCAATTCCACTATTTGTTGGTAAAACTGTAGCAAGAGTTGGCCTTGGGTGGTGATGACAAGCTGCCTTCCCTCTAGTCTCTCACTGCTAAATTAGGGACGGTTATTGCAGATAACCTTCTTGTATCTTTGCGCGAAATGCAAAACAAACCAAACGAATGATAAAAAACTAAAAACGGTCACCTTTTCTCTTGGGTAAACCTGTAGTAAAAATATTAGACCGATAGATCATGTGACTTTTTCGTAGCCGGGTGCAAATATTTTAGTGAAAATCAAGTGGTTTTTGTTAAACAACTTTGAACATGTTGGTTATATTTAGACAAAACTTGACACCTAATTGTAGGTTGTGAAGATCTATCAGTGTAACGAGGTTGAAAAATTCATGAAAGCTAAGTATGTTTTTCTATCAAATGAAATTTCCATGTTTTCGCGCGAAGAAACAAATATAGGAAGAATTCAATCAAAAATGAAGATTTTATATCTCTTGTATATTTTTAATTGATTTCCTTTGTGATGTAAGGATACAATAGTGCACATGAACTGAAACTATGTGTTAATTTGGATTACCATAGTCCAATGTACAGAAAAATGCGAGTAGCTTCCAAATCCTGTACATTTTCTTTCTTTTTATATTATTATTTAAACAGTTTCAAAAACCCGCTTAGACATTACTTAAAAACACATTGTTGCGTCATCGAGGTCACGTGACTGGTGTGGCGCCACCTATTTTCTAGAACTATCCTGTA